CAGCGGACCGAGTCCTCGATGCCGAATGGGCCGCCGGAGACGTCGTAGAAGATGAGGGCGACGAGGGGGAGGAGGGTTAGCTTGGGCCGAGAGGTCGGGGCTGACGATGATGACACTGGATTTCTTTCTTTCTTTCTTTTTTTTTTTTGTGTGTGTTCGGGTTTGGGAATCCAAGAGAGTGGGGGGAGATCTTTTTCTTGTTGACTTTTATAATGCTGCGTTGGGAGCTCTGGGGAGGGGACTTCTTAATTGTTCTCTTTTTTTCCATATACCCCCTCTTAATTTTAATTTGGGTTGTAAAATTTTAGTGTAAATTTTCTTCTTAAATTTTTTTTTTCTATATCCTCCCCCATAAAACTCCTAACCAAGATTAATCTTAAAATTTCTCTTCCCCTTCTCTTCTCTGTTCTCCATCCAAACAAGAGCATAGTGTAGGTGGTGTGCAGGAAGCAACAATCCCGGGAGATACATTGAGAATGATTTGTGGGGCCCAGAAAAAGATAGACATATTGGGTGATAGACTGGACGTGAGAAGGATTGCGCGGACTGTTATCTATTTCTCTCTAATTTGGTAAAGAAAATTGACTTTTTCCTCATAATAGTCACCAAAATCTTTATTAAGTCCAGGATTATCCGCAATTTGATAGCCTAAGGGCTTGTTTGGATTGAGGGTAATGGGGGTGAGGGGAAGAGAGGGTAACTTTTAACCTTGTTTGGAAAGTAAATATAGCAAGTTAATAGGGGTGAGGGGAGGTGAAAGGAGGTGAAAAAATAACATGATTTCTTCCCCCCAAAAAACTTCCCCCCCCCCCCCCCCCCAATTTGGGGTGTAATGGGGGTGAAGGTAAAGAGGGGGAATACAACAAATATAGAGAGACATATTTACCCCTAGCTAAGATCAAAATCCAACGGCTAAAATTTTTAACAACAATATAACTTAATAATATGTGAGAGTATTTATGTCAATTTATATACATTCCCTTACCTTCCCTTCACGTTATTACACTTTCCAAACGGGGTGAAATAACTTCCCCTTAATTCACCTTACCAGTTTCCCAAACCAGTTTTAGAAATTCCCTTCCCTTAACTTAACTTTCCCTAGGTTCCCCTAACTTCCCTTCACCCCCTCCAAATCCAAACAAGCCCTAAAGTTTGCATCTTTTTTTAATTTTGATAGTCCAGAATTTTTATTTGACGATTAATTTTGGTTAACTAGCGGATTATCCCTTCGATCTAAGAAAATCACAATTTTATCCTTCCCTAAATGCACAACCAGCAACCCAGCATTTAGTTCTCTTTTCGCCATGCTTTTGCCGCTGCCATCTACGCCGTGGTCATCTCTGATGGAGTGATTGCTAATTTTGTTCGGTTTCATTGTTATGAGCTGATTTGCTTTCACATAGCTTTTCTCTATGATTTAAGGAGACTCATTTTTAAATTTGAATCGGGCTCATTTTAATTTTTTTAATGCTCAAAATGAACTTGAAATAATAAAAAATGATGAAATTCAAGGTACTGCTCTGAAAGGCATATTTTTTTTTAAGCCTTAGAAAACATTTCCATCTGGTGGTCACAGGCAAAGGCGGGAGGGTGTGGGTTTGGTTTGTAAACTGATGAAGGGAATTTTAATTTTTTCCTTTTCTATTTTTTATTTTTGTTTTCAAGAGTATCCCTATTTATATCATTTTGCTATCCAGCCTGGAACGTGACAACTCAGCTGTCCCATTCTGTGGTCACATTATTCCGGTCCAAAAAAAATTATTCTTAAAAAAAAAAAGTCCTAATCTAGAATATTAATGAACGTGTCTTTCATATATGATCCACAAAGAAATTGTTGGTCTGAATTTATGATCAACTATTGTTGTTGGTTCTCAAATTATTTAGGATGCTGATCTGTGAAGAGACATCCGTGCTCGGATATAACTCTAAGTTAAAGGTTTGATTGCAGCACATTGATTGGCTCTTAATTCTTATCTCATTGGGCTAGTTGCTATAGCTTATAATAATTTGGTTATAAAAGTAGTTTATATAAGTAATTCAAATAAATTGTAGAAAATAAGGGTTTGATAATTATATATCATAAGCTGTTCACAAAAGCAACAGTGTGTTTGATAAAACTATGTTTAAAGATCATTAAAAATGAAATGATAAAAATAGACATAATTTTTACTTATCAAGATAGACGAGATAATTGTGGATGGATGAGATAACAATGTCAGGAGCTAAAGGGTGTACATTATATAAAAACTACAAAAAGCAAAAGTTATTTTTTAAAGCGTACTCATGTTGTTTCTAAAAATATCCCATAAAAACTGTGACAACTTCAATAAGCATGCAAAATAAGTTCCAGTGAACACCATATTGACTGCCTCTTAGAAAAATAATTAGAAGCATCCTCAAAAAACAAGTCCAATTGGCCCTTAGTGTTGGATTTAATCTAATAAATCTATTTGTGGGCACATATGATTAATCAATGTGTATTGCTATCTTTCAGGATAACCCACTAAAGTGATCAATTAAGTTGGGTTAATTTGGTATTTAAATAAGTCATGGGGTTATATGTGCAGATACCAGGTTGTAATTGTAATTTATTGAGGGGCTAAATTATAAAAGTACAACATCTATAAATAAGGGGTTATGGTCCCTAACCTAGGGTTACATTCTCTAATTCTCTTCACCCCCATCTAAGAGAGAAATTCGGCTAAGGAGAGAACCCTAAGGTTAGAAGATCCAAAACCCAAAATCAAGATCAAGCAATGGATTCAGTTATAAGCTTCCGCTCTCTTTTGATTTTGTTAATCTCTTTGAATTAATCATGGCTATATGGTTTTAGATCTCAAGTTTTATGATGTAGATATAAACAAGTGGTATCAGAGCCACCTTGATTAATTCTTAGGGATTTAAGTTTTATTGGGTTTTTGATCTTAAATCTCTGGTTAAAGATTCAATTTTTGGGTTCGGATGAACAGTAATGTTCTCGGATGAACAGTAACGAAAATTTTTTCGGATGAACAGTAAAGTATTTTTTTCGGATGACCAGTACCTGAAAAATCGCCGGTGAACAGTAAATTTTGGGAATTTTTTGGATTTTTCTTTGATTTTTCCTTCAATTTTTCCAATTCTGGATCTGTTTTGAAAATAAAAATCAAAGGTTTTTTGGGTTTGTCGGCGGCGCTAAAAGCGCTATGGCCATAAAGATGTCGCGGAATTTTCCTTATTTAATTTAGCGGCTTAGTACGCACGTGATTCCACATCGGCAAGGATTTCATTGTAAGAAGCAATTGGTATCAAGGAAATATAGGTTGTCATAAATACTCAAGTAAGCCGGTTTCCACAACATTTGAATTAAAAGATAAAACTGAATTGACTGTTTCAAAAAAGAAGCAAGAATAACGGCTGATTTGTCCAAATAAACAGCAGAAAAGAAAACGCGATAATTCGCGTCTAAAAGACGGTAGCTACAAGAAGTATCTTTTAATCAAATAATAACGCAGTTGGCCTAACAACAACCTACAAGTGGGCCATTGCTTCCACATCTACGCCGATTGCCCGTCGCCACAAAGATGTGTGCTTTCAACATCACTTGGTTTTTCGGTAGCTCATTGCAGAACCCATGCATAGAAACACTTATGTGAAGTAGTAGCACACAGAGTCTAACCACCAAGTGTTTCTAGTACTGAAGCTAAATAACCTAGCAGAACAGACCAAAGCAAGGAACGTACGCGCTTATT